GTCTAGTGCCACGTTTTAGTAGATCGATGTATACGAGGTGAAATCCGAGAGGAGGAAGATCAAAGATCGAGGAATCGAAGAGCAGCGCACGAGCCGAAGCCGCACGCTGCCCCACACGCCGCCCCGGAAGACCGCGCGTGAACCTCACGCGCCGCCGTGGCCGATTTGCTGCTGCTGCCGCTGCACCGCTGCTGCCCCGATTGTACGGATTGGTTTCCGTAGCAATCTCGACTTGCTAAACGCTCCTACCTCACGCTTCAAGAGGTAAATATACGAAACCCTAGTTTCGATTCGTTTATGTTTAAACTATGAATTCATGTTTGCTATCGTATGATTTTATGTGATTATGTGTAATCGTTTTAATCTTTGCAAGCATGTTAATTGGTTTAAACGCGAGCATGTTAATTGATTTAAATTCGGTTAAATTATTTAGCATGTATGTTGTTTTTAATTTCGCTGGAAGCGCAAAGGTACGCAATTAATTGATTTTATTTGTCGGGCATGTACTTGTGTGTTTTAAAGTCGTTTAAATCACATTAAATTTTTGTTTTCCGCTGCGTATGCGTGCCCGAAACCCAACAACAATAAGAAAAATGTAGAAACTATCTCCGATCTGTTTTCGTCTCAGTCGGGATCTGGAATCGAACTCCAAAAGCTTGAGAGAGTTTGTGAGAATATTTACCTTTTGATTTTTGAAGAATGATAAAAAAAAGTGCCTAGAAATTTAAATAGTGCTTGCACAAATCATTTCCATTTGAGTATTAAGATGGATTCTACTAGGGATGGCAAAAAAACCTGATCTGGTAGCTAATCATGGGTATCCGCACCGTTTAAAATTCGCTACCGAAATCATTAGGGTTTGATAATGGTTTTGGTAAAAGAAATGAAAACCATCACGGTTTTAGTATGGTTATGGTTTTACTCCTACGGTTTTGGGTACCCGATATATATATATATATATAATATAAATTAATAAATTAATAGTACAATTTCCGGGAAAAAAATTAATTTATATTTTTTTTTAAATAAAAATAATAAAAAAACGAAAAGGCTAAATGCAGTTGATGGAAATGCTGAATGCAGTTAGGACATAAATTGCATTTAAGGGCAACATAGTCATCTTGCCTCTCCAGAGGTATCTCAAAGAAAGAATTTTAGGGGTGGACCTATTCCTACATATTTTTCATATTAGGAGTGTATATCAAATGGTCTCTTTTTTAAAACTTTAATATAGATATTAATTTTTTAGCATTTATGTGAAAGATGTTTGAGTAACGTGTTGCACTGACTCGATGCGAAGCACACAAAAAATGCAGGTTAGCTACTTGGTGGTGTTTGATTTTACTATAATGATTTCTTCTACTATTTCGAGAAATATTTGAATGTACAAGATTGCTTCGGGATTCAATTCCCTTGGGGCTCTTTTGGTTGGAGTGATGGGCAGGGATGGGATTAAAGTTTACTTTTCAAAATACACTGTAGGGATTCGATTTTGGTGGACACAATATTGCACTTGGTTGGTCGGATTTGTTGATGTAGGATTAAATCCAGGATGTATATTTCAAATATGATTTGCTTGATTGGTTGTTATTTTGTAGTAAATTACACAAAAACCCTTACATTTATTTATATTAATATAATATTCTCGTTCATCACAAATTTCAGCTCCCACCCCATTTGTTTACAGTAGAGATTTTCATGTTTTTAAAATCCAACCTCACTTGAAATACAGTTTCTTAAGAAATTGAATGGGGTTTTTTGTCAGATAGCCCATATTTTTCAATTATATTACTATTATAGACACAAAAATAGGAATAATAAATGTGAAAATTTCACAAAATTTAAACTTAGAAGGTATGGAGATCCTAAATTTTATTACAAACACAATCATTCAAACATTGAGACCGAACATTACATAAACACAGTACCAAATTTAAGACATGATCGAAAGCTACATAGGAACATAAGAAACAGTAAAAGATTCATCCCAGAATACTGAAATACATATCGTAGATTATGCATCGACTTTTGCTCGGAAATTATGGATCTTCGCTCGGATCCGGATCCTCTGCCAACAAACAAGACCAACAATTGTTATATAAAACTCACAAAAATGTACAAAACTGATATTAACTTGAAATGTATATACACATATTTCTTACGAGTAAATCAAACCATAAAAAGATCGTACCTCGAGGCATATGCTGCACTGCCAAATTGTCGACCATAAGAGATTCCTTCAGAGGAAGGAAGCTAGGAGTGTAAGGAACAATCTTAACGACAGTTCTAACCCCACCGAAATCAAGAAACCGGAATTCCTTCTATTTCGAATCGTAGCAAACCAAATTATCACAATTCCACAACATCAAAATCTTGCCGTTTTTGAAAAATTGCAACGGCTTAAAAGGTCCATCGATGGATTCACCTGAGCCGCTGAATTAATAACAAACTCCTTTTTCCACGAATCTCGATTCCTGAAGTCCTTCATCACCCATATATCGAAATGAAAAGTATCATCAGTCATATATAGATTACCTCCAAGAACTCCGATATTCATGCTCTGCCTATTCAATGTTTGTCTTGTCCACCCATAGCTTGGGAAAAATCTCGCCGAATTTCTCCATCTCGAAATCGAAGAAAACTATGAAATTCGATATGTCGGGGTATCTGCAGAGCCAACAAACAGTTCCATTCAAGAAAACAGAGTATTATGGAATTCAAACCGCCACGGGTCATTATTTATTTTTCAATTAAGCATATTCCATAACCATGCAGTGTGAATATAAAAAAAAATTCAGATAAAACTACAAAAGCTTAAACCCATTGGAAAACTAACCTTAAATCGACGTGTAGCAGAAAACCGAGAAAAACAACCACCGAAACGTCTACAAGAAGCGAAACCGAAACCACCTGCAAAACCAGAAACGAATACATTTAAATTATATTTACAGTGAATCGATTTCAAGATTTCAACGTAAATATATTAGAAAATCGAAACTCATATGACCTCAAAATTCTTCAATTTGTCTGGGTTTTTTTGAGTTTGAAACAATCTGAAAAATCAATGGCAAGATATCAGAGTTAGGGCACCCAAAAAAAATTGTGTGGAAGAGAATTTTTTTTTATAGCTGGTAAGATCGTAATTAAGTTAAGTTAAAGAGGGCAATTTAGTAAAAGCACGTATAAACTTGGGCTGAAAAAGCAATGGATTTTATTAACCCACCTCGATGGGCCTGATCTGTATACCCGAAAATGCCGGATTTGTACCCGGGCCCAGGATCAATCTTGGGCTGGCTAGTGTGTACCAAATCACAGATCCGAATGGATTTGGAGATCCATCCACCAATATCCATTGAAGCAAAATAGGCCTTAGTTTTTGTTACCTGTAGCATTTTTCGAATGCATTATGTTAATGTTTTTATTTATTTTTTTGGACAATTGCTAAGTGAAGCTGTCCAATATGTTTTTTTTTCCCAATATTTTAAGTTATATTATTCTTTTTAACCGTGTTTTGTATATTGACATTTCAATCTTAAATTTGACCACCATGCATTACACGGGGTGAGATACTAGTTCTATTAAATTACTTGTAAAAGTGCGCCTAGAATATATAATTTATATTTTGTTTTAGGTGGTGTTTAAAAAAGTTTTTAAAAATAGATAATGAGCTTTTTTTTCACATGATCTGTTTTTAGGTGTTTGTAAAATTGACTTTTGCTTTTGCATCTTTTAAAAATAAGCTGTTTTATGGATATAATTTTAAAAGCACCCATGTACCTGTTTTTTCCATTTAAATTGATTTTCCGATTTTTTTGCAAAAACCCCCAACTTTTAGAATTAAGCACATAATATCAACTTAACTCACAATCACTAACTGATAGGAATAATTACATTTTTGGTCCCTCGTGTTTGGACAGATTCCACTTTTGGTCCCCCTTGTTTCAATGTGAACAAAATTCACCTCCAAGTTTTATTTTTAAACAGTTTTGGTCTACTTCGTCACATGGACGTTAGCAATTAACGGAGGAAGTCACGTGCGCCGCACGTGACCCTCAATTAGGTCAGAAAAACGGAGAAAGAACCCCCAATTGCCATTTCCAACAATGTTCACCTTCTTCCCCAATTCTTGAAAAACCCAATGCCCTAATTATCTCCATAATTTCCCTCCAAACCAACATATTTGGTGATCATCTTCACCGAAATTCAAAATTCATCTTCATCATGGGAAGCCGATCAACAAATTCAAGTGGAAGCTCACACAATCGAAGCAATATTGGCGCACAAAATGCGTAGTCCCTCCTCCCACTCGAAACGGTTACTTGTCGTTGTGGTTTTGAGCTTTCAACCCTCACTTCATGGTCGGAAAAGAACCTTGGGAGAAAATTCCGTGCATGTCCAAATTATACGGTGAGTTGGTTTCCAAAAAACGATCTTATACATATTTTCTGCTTTTCTTTTTGCTCTTTAATTGATTTGTTTTTTTTTTCTAGAGCCCATCATATTGTGGCTATTTTGAGTGGGAAGATGAAGAAGTTTGTCGAAGATGCAAGAACATCAATCCTGGATTGTTGAAAAAACTGGACAAATTGGAAGAGAAAATAAAATTGAAGAAAGATAAAAAAAAATACAAGTTGAGCTTGAACTATACAAGAAGACACAAAGGAAGATGATGGCATATCTTGTTATTTTGCTTCTATTTATAACAATCGAACTCATGTGCAAGCCCAAATATGAGAAGAAATTTGTAGAATTGATGTAGAGCGTATGCTTGTTGTTATGTTCTATTTTGGATATTGGATAATTTGTAAAATTTGCCCAAATATTTTGTAACGGATGCTCTTTTGATTATCTTAATACAATATGCATTAGTAATGAATTTGTAATGAGATTGAGTTTGTGCAGAAATTTGACCAGAATTTGTAATGCATTATTTGTGCAGAAATTGAAAGAACTGAAATAAAAAACTTGACAAAAAAATAAAACGTTTAAACAATCATTAAAGCAACAATCATACGTTACATCACATAAATTCATCAAAAACCAACACAGTAACACAAACCAACAAAACAGTGCATAAAACAGTGCAACAGTGTTAACACAAACACAACAGTGCACAAAAAACAGACTTGAAACTAACAAACACTTTTAAAAGAAAGCCTAGCAAATCTTTATGTTACATAAGTTCAGAAATTGCAAAACCAACCACCAAATAGATAGTTCAAACCAAAAAACACAAAAAACAACATGAAATTGATCTAAAGACTAAAAGCATCAAATCTAGTCTTTGATGAGGTGCCATCTTCTTTTGTAGATGTCCTTGTAGGATTTGAGGTGGGAGTTGATCTTGTCCTTAGAGCAGACAAAGATCCAGGTGCATTCATTGAAGGTGCAGTCCTTGAAGGGGGTGTCTTTACGAGTGGTGGTCTCATTGAATGAGGAGTAGAGGTTGATGCCCCTTTGTTTTGATTCCCAGCTGAAGCTTTTAAATTGGACAATGTGATGGAATTCACCCCTCCCTTAACCAGAATATTTGCAGTTGAACCTTGATTGGTCTATGTAAGATATGTAAGATAGAAAGTTTATTAAGACATGAGACTCACAATAAATAAATGAAGCTTTAAAAATTGTAAACAACTTACAGTCACTGAAGTAGTTGCAATGGACATATGTCCTATATCTATTCAAACATTACTTGATCTTCTAACCTGCAAAAAACAAATACAATATTATAAGTAAATATGATTTTAACAATAAAGAGATATCGGAAGAAGAAAATTATTTAACCTCATGTTTCCCCTCTCTGTTAGGCTGAGGTTGAGTGGTTAGTGGACATTTACCATAATTTGGAGTAAATCCTGATCCGTGCAAGCTTCTTCGCGACATGGAGCAAATCCGAGATACGTATAACCTTCTTGATAAAAATGGCGACTTGACCACTCCTGTGTATCTCCTATGCCGGATTTAGGGTGGGATAACAATTAGTGGGAAGATTGTCGGCGAAAGTGACCGAATTTTTTGAGGAAAGTAAGTGAGATTTAGGGTTTTTCAAAAAAAATCGGAATTGAGAAGTTTGATGTTGGGAATGACAATTGTGGGTTATTTCCCTATTTTTCAGACTTAATTGAGGGTCACATGCGGCGCACATGACTTCCTCCGTTAATTGCTAACGTCCATGTCACGAAGTGGACCAAAACTATTTAAAAATGGAAGTTGGAGGTTAACTTTGTTCACTTTAAAACAAGGGAGATCAAAAGTGAAATCGGTCCAAAATGAAGGATAAAAATGTAATTATCCCTAACTTATCCTTTTAAATATGCTTTGCAAACAACTTAGGAATTCTTAAATCGCAAAAATCAAATGTGTGACAAGTCAATCATAAACTTTACAGATAACAATATTAATTAAAATAAGTAATATGCGTACAGACCACTTTCACTTGACAAATTCTTTTGCCAAACCCAAATACCAAGTCAATAAATAATTCAGATATCACACTTTTCTTCTCCCCCTCTATATATGCTTTCCACATACAACACGGCAACAACAAAAAATATATATAAACACACACTTTCACCCAACAGAGATCGAGAAAAAGAAAAACACAACAACCAGATCACGAAAATGGCATTGTCCTCAAAGATCGCGGCGGCGCTGACGGTGTTGGTGGTGGTATTGGCGGCGAGCAGCAGAGTGGCGGAGGGGCAGCAAGATTGTGCGTCGAAGCTGGTACCCTGCGCCGCCTACTTGAACTCAACAACACCATCGGCGGAGTGCTGCAGCTCCATCAAAGAAGTCGTCACAACTCAGTTAGAGTGTCTATGCAGGCTGTACGCAAACCCGGGCCTTCTTCCCGGAATCAATATGACTCAAGCGCTTATGATCCCCAAATACTGCAATCTCTCTACTGATACCAACGCCTGCAAGACTGGTATGTGTGTGTGTATATATTATATATCTATATATTTACATTCATTTTTTATTTTATTTTTTTAATTTCGAGGTTGAATTTTATATTATTTTGGTTGTTTTGGGGTTTAATCCTGAGAATTTTTGGAATTGTGGTCCAAAAGATTGAAATACTGCTTTGCAATTTGAAGATTAGGTGGGTGACTCGGTTGACTCGGAATTCATGATAGTACATCACGAGTTTCACTTTTTTCTCTCGTCTTAAAATTGAATAATTATTTTTTTGGTTAAATTACACCTAGGTATGCAAAAATAACTGTAAGGTACATGTAGTATTGGTAATAACAACAACATTTGTGAAACAATTACTGAATCCACATTTTCATGTTGTAGCTAGGGATCAATATGCACCATATTTGTTTTGCGCGGGGCCTTAAATGGTATCATAGACGAAAATTTATAAATATTATATAAAATAATAAGAATTTAAGAAATAGTAAAAGAGCCGAGTTCTGTCACCCCCTAACTCTATGTTGTGTCCAGCACCGTCTGAAACTAATAATCCGTCAGGACCCTAATAGAATAAGTTATCCAATGCATTATTCTGTTAGGGTTTCTAACAATGTTTGAGGTGTGATTGTAATTACTGGTACTGCAAAGACCTTACAATTATTTTAGGATACTTTGGGGGTTTAGATGTAATTTACCCTAATTTTTTTTTTGGAATGAAATGTTTTTTTTTTCTTCATAATATTGAAAAATAGATTTGCAGTAATTAAAAAAAAAAAAAAACATTTGGAACATTGGATGAACTAATAATATATAATGATATTGGTCTTTTTCATCAACAGCTTTGTCTCCACGATCATCACCTCCAGCTCCTCCAGCTCCAGGTAATTTCCTTTACATTTAAATACTTATTATATACCAAAAATATTATATAATTTATATTTAAATAATTGTGTTAGGCGAATAATGATGACGTCATATATTAATTTAATTGAATGAAAATGTAAAATAAGAAGATTCACATGATTGGATAGTGGGGGAATAAATGTGGTGGGTAGCAGATGTGGGAGGAACGTAGTGTGAAACAGCTGACTATGACTTGGACAAAATTCACACTGTTTCGTTGCTTACCCCTCATGAATTCATGACCGTCACTTATTATTATTAGCCGTACCTGCCTACTCACACTTCTTTGTCCCGATTTTGCACATGCTGCACTCGGTAAAATACACGGGTGGTTTTAAACTACCGGTCTACAGTTAATATTATAACGCATATATTCATGTGTATGTGTACTCACTGGACTTAAATTTTTGGGGAAGAAAATTTTGGACTTTTTTTTGGATAAATTAGGATGAGAGAAAATATTTAGGGTATTTTTTTGCATAATTTAAGTTTTAGGTGGGCTAAATAATAATATATGTAAAATATAGTGAAAGAATTTGTAACTGAGTCCACCCTAGATAGGGACTGGACTCGCCAAGTGGGTAGTTAATTGTATAGATTTGCAGTTTAAAATCATCGGTATTTCAATGGGTGTAGTATCTCATAGACGTATCATGTTCTAATCTGAATTAGTAAATCTATAATTTTTATTTTATTCCTTAAAAGTTGAATGACCATTCTACCCCATGAAAAATTAAGTACAACTTGCGTGGTTATGTTTCTGACCAAATTTTGGGGAACGTGGGAGCACGGTTCAAGAACCAATGTTGTTGGAGGAAAATCGTGTAAAAATGATTTTGTTGAGTGGGTATTGGGTAAATAGGTAGAGTAAAGAGGAAAAAATACAACTTACCCCGTAAGAATAGGGTAAATTACGAAAAGCCCCCATGCTCTTATATTAAATTACAAAAAACACCATCACCTATACGTAATTACTAAAATCCTTTTGATGTTTGTTCCCCATACAGTGTGATTTTCACGGGATTTTTTTATCCTAGGAAATATTCCTCGAAAAATGTTCTAAAAACATTTTAGTAAATAGATATTCGAATAAAACCATATAATATATGTCAATTTATCTAAATCAAAATGAATGTGATCTTAAATAGATTGTATCTAAATTTGAAAAATATGAGGTAGGTTTAGATTAAAAACTTAAAAAAATTAATTACCTATTCTTAACAGGTGTACCTGGTGCGAAGGATAACAAAAACGATGCCGGTTCGATTTCATGGGTCGGAATCCCAGCCTTCGTTTTGGCATCGGCTCTCACATTTCTATATTAGATAAGATGAATTGAAAATAATTAAAGTTCAAAATTGCTGAAGAATTCAATCTATCGATTGGTTTGATTATTGTTCCCACGTTTATTTTGGTACCACACTTGTGGTTTCTTTTTTCTGTATTTGAAATGCATTTTGCAGTGTTGAGACTTTTCACATTTGACCCATTATATGTTATTAATAATTATTGTTATTAATTATTTTTAGACTTCATTATAATAATGTATGTTTTTTTTGCATGATTGTTTGATTAGTAATGTATTCTTCTTTTTTCCTATCAAAAAAAAATGTATTCTTCTTTTTTCTTTTTTTCTTTTTTTTTTAATTACTTTAATCATGAACAATTACAAGGCACTTATGGATAGAACCCCTAATCAGTTTCCTACAATTTTTCGATCAATCATATATAATATACAATCATCTATGAGAGAAATAAAATACATTTGCTATTTTTTGACAATCTTCAACACCTATCACGCATGCGCAACTTGTTCAAAAATTCTGAGAATAATCGGTTGGATACTCCTTTAATAAGGATATCAACTATTTGGTTATGATCGAATCTTGGATAGCTCTACCAATTTCTTATGAACTGTCTTCTTCATGAACATCTATCTACCTCAACGTGTTTTCTACGTCGTGTACTTGATATCTTGTATATTTGTATTTTGAAACTATATAATTCATCTATTTGGAATAAATTTTGGATATCTCAAAATACGCATGATTGCATTCATATGGTTTTATATCAAGATTATGTATAAATTGACAAATAATACTTACGCCATAAGCGAGATATATATAGTCTTTCTTGAGCTAAGTACATTGATCTTAGGGATGGTCATGGGGCGGGTACGGGGTGGGTATCGCAATCCCCGCACCTGCCCCGTTTGGAAAATCAAGCAACCCTCACCCGCCCTATACCCGTTGCGGGTTGGAATTGTAGAACCCGCCTCCGCCCCATTTTGCACCCGCGGGTACCCGCCCCGTTTGACGATCCGTTTTTTTTTTCTCTTCGATTTTGGCTTTTTCTTCGTACTTTGAATATAAAAATCAATTCTAGTTATGTTCCTTAAAAAAAATAGCCTTGTTTGTTCCAATGCAAATATATATACTTGCTAATTACTAAATACGATTAAAATATAAATGCAAATCAACAATCATTTTATAAAATATAATATACGTTGTATTAAATATACATATAAGGGTATTATACGTAAATAAAAAATATGGGTGGTAAACGGGGCGGGTATGGGTTGGGTACGGGCAAAATTTTACTACACCCGTACCCACCCCTTACCCGTTGCAGGTATAAATTGTAAAACCCTTACCCGCCCCAATCCTTAACGGCGTGGGTATTACCCGTCGAAAACGGGGCGGGGCGGGGCGGGTACCCACCGGGTCGGGTAATATTGCCATCCCTAATTGATCTTCCAACTTTAATTTGGTCTCCCATTATCCATTTAATATCTAGTTGGTCTTAATACACAATTTCATACCTTCCTTTATTGGAGTATCAACTCGGAGACAAGCAAATATACCTGATGATGCTAAGATTAGATTACCTTAGAGGGTTGAAGTAGAATGAGTTGAAAGAGCAAAGTGGGTCATTAGCGCACGAGCTTGATGACCTTGAGATATCTGCGATCATAGAACACGTAAACTAAGCCGGAGTTGATCCGGCGAAAACCCCTCCGACGCCAAGTTAGACATGCGGATAGTAGAAATAGTCCAAAGAATACATGTTATAGTATTGCTCAGATAATATGACGTACCTTTAATAAATGAATTAAATCGTTTATACCTTGTCGATTGGGCTGATGTTAATTTGTTGGGCACAAACCTTATTTTAAGGTGATTGAGCTTTCTTAATAGTATTTTTCTAAATCGGGCTCGTGACCAGTAGATAGAGAAATTGTATGCTTATTGCGCTGACCCAATTAGGCATATCAATACCAATTTTTATGAAACAAGTCTTACTTTGAACATGAAGATTCATTTACTCGATCGATATATGACATAAATTACTTTAATGGACTTAAGTATTTTCATTCAAGTTATTTGAACCAGTAATATTCGAGGGGTTTTGAAGATTGTCAAAAAATAAGATATTAATTTTATTTCTTTAATAGAAGATTGCATATATCAAGACTATGCATAAATTCGCTAATAATATTCAATGCATAAGCGACTATTTGGTCTTTTGTGAGCTAAGTACATTGGCCTTTCAATTTTAACTTGATCTCCAATTGTCCACCGATATCGAGTTTGTCCTTAAAGACATTCATACATTCTTCTGTTGGAGTATCATTTGCAGGACAAGCTGACATACCAATTTTTATGAAGCAAGTCTTAGCCATACTTTCTTTGAGACAGAAAAAATTATTTACACGATTGAAATACTTCAATTCTCAGAAATTACTTTAATAGACCTAAGTAGTTAATTCAGATTCTTTGAACCAGTACTCTTTCAAAGCTATGAGTTCTTCATTGTCATTAAATGTAACAATCATAACATCCGCATATACAACGAGTCCAGCTATTTTTCTATGCCGCTTCTTCAAAAAATAAGGTGTGATATGAGTTGCTTTGTTTGTAACCAAATGTTATCATGAATTTGGTGAGTCGTCCAAACCATGCTCTAAGGGACCGCTTCAAATAGTAATCGCAGAGATAAAAAATCACAACAAGAAGTCAATTGCTGCAAATTCAAAGTAAAATGAAAATGAACTCAATCGTAATCGTAGAGAGAAAAAAAAAAACAAGAGAGCTTGGCCTATATAAAAAAATAGACTAAAACATTAATGAAGAGAGATATAGAAATAAAATGAAAAGAGAAAAATAAAAATAAATAAAAATGAGTTGGCTAATAAGCCTAGGGTTCGAGTCCCCCCCTCCCCTACTTCCCCTTGTAATGGACTTGAATTTACTCAAAAAAAAAAAAAAAAAAATAAGCCTTCAAATCATTATCCGTTAACCCGAAACCCAAACCGAAGAAGCTGCTAGAAGGCCCATCAGGAAGTCCAGTACGTCGACTGTATTTCTTTCTTCACTCTTCTTCACTCAGATTGAGCCGAAACTCCCAAAGGCAAAAAAAGTTTCTCTCACTAACCCGCGATTCTCTGGAATTTCTTCTCGAAACAACACAGCACACAGTAAATTAACCATCAATGGACGCATCGAAGGTGGAGCAGCTGCGGGAATTCGTCGAGCAGTGCGAGTCGAATCCCTCTCTTCTCTCCGATCCCTCTCTCTCTTTCTTCCGAGACTACATCGAGAGGTACAATCCAATGCAAATCTGTATATGTATTGTTTATTAGGTTTTGAGTTCGGAAATGCCAGCCGCCATTTACTTTAAATGCTAATTTTTTTTAATTTTTTTTTAAATTTGTTCCGTGATGATTCGTGGGGTATTTTGCCTGGGGTTTTGTGTTGAATGTTTTTCCTTCGAATTAATTTTCAGTCTCGGAGGCGAGATTCCGTCGCCCGGCCGCGATTATAAATCGGTATGTTTTTTTTTTTTTTAATTAGGGTTCAAGGTTTTATTAGTCTCTAAACTGAGGATTTTTCGCCCTTTTTTTTTTGTTGTTGTTGAATTTGAAATTTAATGGAGTGCAGAAATCTCATGTGGTGGATGAGAGCGACGAAGATATGGACGATATCGAAGATGAGGAGGCTCAGGTACCTGAAGAAGAGGAAGAAGAAGAGGAGCCTGAGATAGTTGAATCTGATATCGAACTCGACGAGAGCGGTGTTGTACAGGTCGTCTCAGAGAAACCGGGAGTATTCTT